TCAAAATTGTCACAATTACTACCATTGATTCTTGTGGCCATACTGTCTGGTTTTACTACACTTAACTGACAAAATCAAATCAAATAGCTTATAGAGCACATAATAAATACTTACAGCACAATAAACTCAGGTCTGTAAACTAGTTTGTACTTGTTACTCACTGAAATGTTTTAAACATAGTTTGGCTATATATTTGAAAGCAAAGCAAATAAAAAATCTTGTGGTACTGGAGAGACATAAATGAAGACAATATTTATAGCAGTAAATATTTTTGAGTGTGAATATTTATATATACATCCTATATAATAAAGAGCTAATATGCTAATTAGACCGAACAACAGAACGACCCTCCGGACGAAGCCAGGGCTGCGAAGGCCAAGCCCCTTACACAATTTCCTGCATCAGGCCTCTAATACTTATATAAGTTTCACACCTAATAATAACATATAGATGTTCACATATGTAAGTATTCCTTCATTATGAGTTCTAGGAGCTCATGATCAATATTTAATATGTCACTTTTACAAAAAAAACAAACACTATAACTGCTATCCTTCTAGTCAGTATCAGTATTATGAATAACAATTTGGATCATTAAAATCTAATTTAGACAGAGACTCTAATATGAAATTATTATCAGGCTACATTAAAATATTTCGCTTTCGCAATTTGAATTCTCTAAAGTTACTAGAAAAACCTACACTTAAAAGAGGGCATGTTAAACATTAGAACGTGACAGTATTGAAGACATCCTGATCTGGGCCAGCATAGCAAATTTTCCTGAGACTTAACAGAGCACAGTTCTAATAAACCCAGACATAGCTAGACATGATTATAAAATTTAAAATGCCACTTGAATGATATTCAAGGTGATTACACAATAAGTTCTGTGCATATTATGAGTTTTTAGAAAAGCTAGCAATTGTACATTTTGCTATTGGTGCTTCTTTCCCAGTCACTAACTCCATCCCAGAAGTTGTATCATATTTAACTCTAACCTTGCCAAGCCTTGGTCATGTATAGAATTCCAATAACCAGCCACAGCTTAATTTCCCATCTGTCCCAAGTTCCTTTGCTGCTAGTCAAAACACAAAAGAGGACGATAATTCAATGCATTCCATGTTTTCAGAATGCCGGAGGTATAACCACAAAGGTGGGAAAAGCGCCACGGGAAGGATTGTTCAAAACAGCAACTCAAAGAGGAGAATGCATTTTAGATAAGCCCTGAAGAATGAGTCGAACTGCAAAAGGTAGAGTCGGGCAGAAACTGGCCTTTGCAATTAGAGACAATGACACGAGTTAGCACCACTGGGCAGACATTCCATCTTCTGGATGGGAGCGCTGTGTCAGCCAGCACTGATGTAGAGCTTACTCTCCTAGAAGCTATTTTTAATGCTTTCTCTGTATCCCATCATTTCATGCTCATATGACACTATGAGGACACATCGTTACCCCACTCTTACAGATGAGGAAGCTGCAGTATAGACAGTAGTAACAGCCCACAACTGTAGGGGTGCAGAACGAGCCATCCCAAGATGTGTCTCAGTGGTAAGCAGATTACTTTGAGCTAAAGGTAATATTAGATTCAGATTCGAGAGAAATTCTGCCCCTCCCTTTAACGGCCTAGAACTTGAATTAGGGGCCTGGCTCCTAATAAAAGCCTATCAGAGGTAACATCTTTTGACTCTGGGGCAGAGCAAACTTCTATTTACTAAAGGTGAGTTCTCCTTATCATTCTGCAATGACCCTTTGAAGGTCCCCGGGTGCATTACCGCATCCCTAACTCAGGATGTCTTACATACCTCCAGCGCCTTCCTGTCTCTGAACCTCTCCTGCATGGGGGTGTCTCTGACTCTAATGTATGCAGGGTTCCCATACAGATGTATGCATTAAACGTGGTTATTTTCTCTTGCCAATCTGCCTCATGTCAATGTGATTCTTAGGCCAGCCAGAAGAACCTTGAGGGTAGAGGAAAGGTTGTTCCTCCCCCACCCTAAGAGACAACAGGGCTGGGAGGGAGCCTGCAGGGTGAAGCAGCTGAGTGAGTGAATAATGAAAAAGTGTTAAGCAAGTGTACACCACTCCTTCAAGAAAGCCTGTGGTCTTCTGAGTGACAGGATTACTTTTCGCTTGGCCTATACTTTCCATACTTTCCACAATAAATATGTTAGTTTAATCATAAAAATACAAGAATGTTCATTTTTAAAATGTACGTGACTCAAGGAAACAGAGTGCTAAGGGTGGAGAGCCTAAAACTTCAGCAGCACTGAGTTCCATCTGCAGCATAAACAGTCACTCTCTCAGAGCTCACAATGTACACATCTACACTTCCTTCTCCACCCTTCCCTCCCCTGCTCCCAGGTGGTGCTGTATCAGCAGTGAAGAGTAGTGCCAAATAATTGTAAAACATACAATTTTTTTTAATGGGGGGGGGGCGGGGGACATTTAAGGTCTATTGTTTTTTTCTTGTTTAGGTAGATGAAAGAAAGTGCTGTGTATGTGGAAGAAGAATGAGGCATCCAAGAGAGAAAAAATGAGGACCTCTCTCTGGGATAGGTTAATCTAAAAATAAATCCTAACAGTTATTTTAAAAAGTCTGTCCCTGTACAGAATAGGACGTCTGAGTTTTAACAAATAGTTACCATTTATAAGTAATCTTTGTGCACATATGTGCCACTCACTGAACAATATGATGCACATGTATATGTGCTCTATGAAAGCTACTTATGTGTGAGGAATGATGCATTGCTGCATTTTATGCATAAATTTAACAGGAAAGTAATTGCTTCAATGCCAGTGAAACAGAAGGAAAGGGGCTTAAAAATACTGAGTCACATAGGGAGAAAATTACCTTTTTTTCAATATTTTCTGAATCCGTCTTATTACATCAGGGAAAAACTTAGTTTAGTTTGGAGACTTTAACACTTTAACTCATTAAAACTGATCAATAACAGAATATAAAATTATCAGAAATTGGTTACATTTTTATACACCAAAAAACAAACTATCAGAAAGTGAAATTAAGGAAATAATCCCATTTAAAAATTGCATCAAAAAATATCTAGGAATAATTTTAACCAAAGCAGTAAAAGACCTGAATTTAGAAAAGTATATGACACTGAAGAAACTGAAAAAGATACAAATAAGTGGAAGCATATATAATGCTCATGGATAGGAAGAATTAACATTGTTAAAATGTTCATACTACCAAGCAATCTATAGATCAGTGCAATCTTTATTAAAATGCCAATATCATTTTTCATAGAACAAGAACAAATAATCCTAAAATTTATATGAAATCACAAAAGACCCTGAATAGTTACAGCAATCTTGAGAAATAACTACACTAAAAGACTATAGTAATCAAAGTTGCATGGTACTGGCATAAAAACAGATACATAGATCAATGGAACAGAATAGAAAGCCCAGAAATAATCTCATGCCTATATGATCAATTAATCTATTCAAGAGGAAAGAATATGCATTGGGATAAAAACAGTTTATTCAATAAATGGTGTTGGAAAAACTGGACAGATACATGTTTCTCTCTTACATACCTCTCTCTCCTTTCCTCTCTCTTTAAAATAAATGTTTAAAAAACAATAAATTCAGGTGAGAATTAAAAAAGAGAAAAGCCTTACATAATAATTTGAAAAGTTAATATTCCAAAAAGACATAACAATCATTAATGTTTATGCGTCTATTAACAAAACATCAAAATATGTGAAGCAAAACTGCTAGAGCTATAAGGAGAAATAGATGAATCCGATATTATAGCAGAAACTTCAACACTCCTTTATCAGAAATTGACAGATCCAGCAGGCAAAAAATCAGTTGAACTAAACAGCACTATTAAACAACTGGATCTAATTGCTATTTGTAGAATACTTCATTCAACAACACGAGAACACACATTCTTTTCAAGGTCACATGAAATATTTACCAAGATAAGTCACATTCTGAACCATGAAACACACCTTAACAAATTTAGACAAAAGAAATGATATAATGTATGCTCATGGAAATTGAATCAATAAATAATAACCTTCATAAATATAAATAATTTATAACCTTCCAGATTAGTTCACTATTGACATCTACAAACATTTGAGAAAAAGTGATATCAATTTTCTACAACTCTTCCAGAAAATATAAACAAAGGGAATATTTCTTACCCCATTTTTTGAGGACAGCATTAACCCAATAACAAAACCAGAAAAAAGACATAACAATGAAAGGAAAACTATAAATCAATCAATATCTCTTGTGAATATATATACATAAAACCTCAAAAAATATTAGCAAGTCAAATCCAATAATGGATAAAAAAGAATTATATATCTTAACCAAGTGAGCTTTATTCCATTAACCCAATAACAAAACCAGAAAAAAGACATTACAATGAAAGGAAAACTATAAATCAATCAATATCTCTTGTGAATATATATACATAAAACCTCAAAAAATATTAGCAAGTCAAATCCAATAATGGATAAAAAAGAATTATATATCTTAACCAAGTGAGCTTTATTCCAGGTATGCAAGGCTGGTTCAACATTTGAAAACAATTGGATACATCACATCAATAGGCCAAAGAAGAAATTCATATGATCTTATCAATAGTTGCAAAAAAAGCATTTGAAATAGCCAACACTTATTCATGTTAAAAATGTCAACAAACTAAAAATAGATGAGAACTTCTTAGACTTAATTTTTAAATCTACAAAAAAACTTACAGCTAACATCATTCTTAACAGTGAGAAATAGACACTTTCTCTATCAGATCAGGAAAAAGGCAGGGATGAGCATTCTCAGTACTCACAACATTGCACTGGAGCTCATAACTACTGTCTTTGTGCACAGAAGACATGAACGGTTATAGAGAAAATACCAAAGAATAAAGAATCAATAGCAACTCTCATACACAAAGTGTTTGTACAACTTTGGAAATGGAAAGTTTATAACCACTTTGAAAGACAGTGGTAGCTTCTTCTAAAGCTAAAAATAGTCTTACCATATGATCTAGAAATTGTGCTCCTTGGCATTTACTCAAATAAGTTAAAAAACTATGTCTGGACAAAAAGCTACATATGAATGTTTCTAGCAGCTTTATTTATACTTGCTAAAACTTGGAAGCAAACATGTTGTTCTTCAGTAAGAGAATGGATAAACTGTGGTGAACCTATATACTAGAATATTATTTAGCATTAGAAAGAAAGGTGCTTAAAGCCATGAAAAGATATAGAGGGACCACAAATGCATATTGGTAAGTGAAAAAAAATCTAGTCTGAAAAGGCGACATACTGCTTGGTTCCAACTCTATGACATTCTGGAAAAGACAAAACTATCTATCTACCCTAATAAAAGAGAAACATGGTAATTAGCGTACGACCGCTACCCTTCCCATTGGCTAATCAGCATATCCTTATGCAAATTAACTGTCAGCCAAGATGGCGGCCGGCAGCCATGCACTGAAGCAAGCAGGGAGGCTTGCTTGCTCCAGTGACGGCGGACTCCAACGTTCCCC